GCCCGGCCTGGTGCCAACGTGCCGGGCATGGGCATTTGCAGATCCCTATAAAAAAAGCTACAAAAAAAAATCTTTTTTTTTTGTGGTATTTTCTTTATAGTTAGGACCAACTTAAGAGGTATAATCTATGTGAGTAGATTTTGGGGGGTTAAATAGAAACCCCAATTTTTAAATTTTTAATTCTATTTTTAATTTTATTTTTAATCCAATTTTTATTATGATCTGCGGAAATAATTATCACTAGCATCGCTATATTATGATACAGTACGTACCTGCCATTGTTTCCGGGTAACACTATGTAAATTGTATGATAAATCCAAAACGTAATATCTAATGCACAGGTGATTCACGAATTAAAATAACAAGCATAAAAAAAAAATTTTTTTTTTTAATAAAATTTCATAATATAATTTTAAAATCAAATTTCCCGACATAAAAAAAAAATTTTTTTTATATTATCTGAAAAATTAATTCCGATGAATGAAACATAAAAAAAACAAAAAAGTTAGCAACAATACAGTAGCAAGTGTATTATTTCTGCTAGTTTCAGTATCGTATGATTTTACAGTCAATAATTAATGACGATCAGTTTTCCAAATAAAACATCGTATGATATTTACAACCAATCGTATAATTAAAATTTATTTATCCATGTATGTTACACTTGGTAGTGGCGTGATTTAGAAGATTTAAAAGCCCTGTTACACCTGGTAGTGGGATGATTTTGAAGATTACAAAATAGGAAATGTACTAAAATGGAAAGCAATTGTCAGTGAATCGGCTTCTTCTTTAAGCGACTTTGAGTAACCAATAACGCGCTCGAATTATAGACGTGTTCTTATAGTGAATATAGTACAGTAGGATGTCTAGTATAACATTGTGCGTGAAATTAAGAGAAATTTAACTAGGCATTATAAGTTAAATGATGTTTTGTCTAGTTGGATATTTTAAATATCTAAAAAAAATATCTAAATAAGGATATTAGTTTTATTTGAATCAAAAGTGGGTGGTATGTAATGAATCATTGGTTTGAAGTAATTATAAAAAAAATTCATGAAAACCTATAAAATAATCTACTTTCTGATGAATGGTAATGTACGAGTATTTTCATTAAAAACATTTTTTTCTTCATCTCCAACTATCATCAGTAAATAAAGCACTTGATGCATTCATCCTAATAAGACTGCACCATAAACATTATCTATGGTGACAATAAATATGTATTTCCACTAACTAACTAAATTGACAAATATTGATTGTTCAAACATTCGTTAGAAAGCCGCTCAATAGCAAAGCATATGTCACTCGCTCATTTTTTTTTGGTTTATAACTCTGCAAAGTAATTCCTAAATAATAGAATGGGGTATAATTGTTTAGTTTTTTAGAGTATATCAAAACAGTTAGGACGACGTCCGAGAATCATATAACGCAAAATTCTATCATAATAACCAGCTTCAAGTCTTTAAGTTATTTTCAAGCATATAAATATGGATTTACAAATGCTATTCACGTGCACAGGCCATTCACTAAATAGTGGGATGATTCAGAATTAACTTATTTCTATTTTGAAATTCCGAATCAGAAAATGAAATATGAGCATTTTCTGATAATATATAAAAAAAATAGAATTTAAAAAGATCATTTACCGTATTGCACTGACAAAAAAACCCGAGTCTAATACAAAATACCCGTCAAAAAACTTACAAAAGACCCGTGTATATTATACAGAGTGGATCTGTGTCACAAGAAAGAGAAATTTCGTTTATACATATTCCGCATTTAAAAAATCTATATATAATTAATCAAGACCTCGTGTTTTGCACCGGGTATTTTGCAAGGGGGGTATTAAAAAAGGGGGATACTTTGGTCAGTGCACTACGGTATTTTGAAATAAATATGTCACTAATTTTATTCGAAATCAAACATCTGAACATTAATTCTGAATCACCCTAGTAACGCTGCATTAAAGGGTGCCGGTCAAAATCCCGACAAGCACAATCCCGACAGGTCATAATCCCGACAAAAAAATCCTGACAGTCAAAAATCCCGACAATAAAAATCTTGACAATCGAGTAGAAATCCCAAATATGAGGATATGTTTAAGAAGTAGACTCTTATAATTTAATTAACTTTAGGGTTAGGTCACTTTAGATGAGCGTTAGGCTTGAGTTAGCTATGGTTTATGATATTTTTTTTTTATCAAAAACTTTTAATTGTCGGGATGTCGCTGTCGGGATTTTTTTGTCGGGATTATGACCTGTCAGGATTTCGCTTGTCGGGATTTTGACCCAAACCCGTATTAAAACGGTTCTAAACCACACATTCATAGTTTACGAATTCGCATTTTGTATTAAACCTTTCTCCTAGTGTAAAAATGCTTAATATTTTATCCAAATAGATAATGAGACTATTTTAATTATGTATGACATCTTGAATATTTCTTTTTAATAATAATGACGATAGATTTGTGTTGTTACTATTTAGTGATTACTGGTGAAATTATTTCGAATTTCAAATTTCACCAATTTTACATAAATTTCATAAATAGTGATTGTTGACATGACAAGACCGGATCAATTTAATTCGGTGGTTTACATTTCTTTTCAAAATGGGGGTGAAAAAAAAGTAATGCTTAAATAATAATTTTATTATAATTGTTTTTAATCGGAAAATATCGACCTGACCTTGCTTGTCTTTTATGTTCATTCATTTTCTTTTCGAAATGTTTCGGACTTCTATAATTCCTACTTATTAATTTCGCTCTGCGTTATGCAAAAAAATTTTTTTTTTACTAAGAGGGTGAGGGAGAAGGCAAAAAAGGGGTAATATAAACCACCGAGTCTAATTGGTCCTGCCTAAACATATAAACAGCCATACTAAGCGTTACATAATATCAGTTCGCATAAGCCAAATTTAATAAACAAACACACTATTTGTAGAGCTTAGACAATCATGTGTTAGAGCCAAAAAATCTCAGCGTCAAAGCTACTGTCACGTGATATTTACAAAATAAAAATGGTGCGCTACAAATCAGACTTCAAGATTAGGTGTAACGTAACAAGATCAGGAAGATTCCAATCGCCCGTCACTCAAAAATCAGCATAAGAAACTACCTTTAGTGCTCTAACAAAAAGTTATCGTTGGGCAATTTTACCGTACAACCTACACCTCTAATTTATAACATTAAACCTAACCCTAACCTTACCGAATTTTAAAAATTTTGTCTGCGCCACAATGCTATAATGATTTGCAAAGATTTTAAGAATATTTGCATAAAAATTTTTAAACGCATATTTCTTAGAAACATCATATATCAAGCTGGGACAAACTTGGAGCAAGTGAACCTCTTTAACCTTTTTAAATGATCACTATATTTTGATTAATAACAGATAATGCAACAATCACGAGGCACAAGTCGTTGGTTTTACCTTATTGATGCGCCACGATTATATCATACGTCACGAGACAGCTCAAAACAGCTCTTCATTTATAAGGAACGAATTAATACAGTATTTGATAATCTTGCGGCTCAGCTCAAGAAAAATAATTGGTTAGGCACAATATTTTGTCAACAATTTGCACAGCATCACATGGTCTATTTTTCCTATTTTTCCCTGTAACAGTATCTATTTAATACGTATATCGATACTAATATATGTAGTATACTCGGATCAAATTCATTTAGGCCAGATTGACAATATATATACTCGATACTATATACTTGATACTGTATAAAAAATAAAATAAATAAAATAAATAAAATAAATAAAATAAATAAAATAAATAAAATAAATAAAATAAATAAATAAAATAAAAATATAAAACAATAATAAAGAGATATGCAATATTTCATAGTTATATGTATATAATTTTTAATCTTTAGTACAGATTAAAATGCATCTTAGTTCATAGTTTCTTTTTTGTCAAATAGCTCTACATATAGATTTCTATAATTATGCAGATAATTTTTTATCTAATTAGCAGATTTTTCTATCTGTAGACAAGTTCTTATAGATTTTAGAATAATTCTTTAGATTTTTTTATATTTTGATTATTTTCTTTATATGTTTGTTTTATTTACCCTTTTTTGTTCTATCCATGCCTTTTTTTTCTTTTTACTTCTTTACAAAAAGGTGTCATCAGATTGGTGGCATTTTATTGCAGAGCAGTGATTCTGACAATGTTAGTAAAAACCATCTGTTGATATTTGGGGCTCATATCCTCAATAAGTTGAGGATCCCAGAAGGAGGAAAAATTCACTTAGGTGGATTGCTTCTGGTTTATACTCTAGCATAAATTATGGTTCACTATGATTTTACTTCGATAATAAGATAGATCGAGAGAATCTTTATTTGTACAGGACTATAGCAACCAATGAGTATGTATGTAGGTTTAGCCAACTGAGAACATAATTGTAAATTATTTCCGATTAATAAATTAAAGGTAGAATTGCTGAAGTAAAAAAAAAATTCCAAAAACTTTTTATAATTAATGAAAATTTACAAAAAAAATCCCGCAATATTGTGACTTATTATCTGAAAATTTGAAGATTTTCTTGTATCAAGAACGTTTTATATAATTAATAATTGATTAGTGAAAATAGTTTAGGTGCTGGCGCGTAATTTTAGTTTAAAAGTAGTCTATCTTGACTCTATTTAATACAATCTAAAAGTAATTTCATAATGACATGAATATATTGTAACGAATAAACATAATGTAGTACAGTAAATAAACTCTATTTAATAGTTAATGACAAAAAAAAATATCAAAAAGAAAATTAATTAAAAATAACTTGTGGAGAAAAACATCAAAACACTAAAACTTTGAAGAATAGCATTTATAACTATTGTGTCTTTCCTTGGAGGGTGAAATATATCAAAAATATATCCAAGCAAACAATAATAAAACAAACAATACTCGAAATAATGATTAACCAAACTGGATTCGTAAAATCCAGTAAATATTTTTCATCCACCGAAATGTGCGATAATTTATTACCATTAGACTCAGCAGGTATCAGGGGAGTCAATAATACAACCCTACCTTCTTCATTTTCCTCGTCCCTTTCACTCTTAGGATTAAAAGCATTTCTAACATCAACAGTCATGCATGTTTTAGCACTAGTAAAATAAACCAATGGTATAATAGCGAATGGTAGCTGAACACATAACGCTACTTGACTAACGACCAGTAAATATGATAGTCCATTTTGCCCATTTATAATTGCAATTAACATTGCAGGTGTAATAGCAACAGCACGTGTGAATAGTCGTCTCATCCACGAAGGTATTACCCAACCAAGGAACCCTTCCATAACAATTTGTCCTGCTATAGTGGCTGTGAGAGTCGCGGATTGCCCAGATATTAATAACGCCAAGGCGAATATAATACCTGCGGAACCTCCAAGATACTTTGTTAATAGATTATGAGCATCGAATAAACCAGCCACCTTTGATGAAGTAGTATTGTTATTGTAATAGAAATTTGTTGCAGCAACAATTAATATCGCAGAATTTATAAACATTGCGAATATTAATGCGACAGAAGAATCTAAAGAAGATAATTTAATGGTTCTGTAGGTTATTTTTTTAATCATCATCTTGACCGAATGTACTTTTTGATCGGATTCAATTTGGTTAGCTTCTAAGCTATTATCTATGTCATTCAATACGTTTGATTCTTCTCGGTATTTTCTAACTTTGATTAGATGTGAATGTAAATAAAGATTATGTGGCATAACAGTCGCACCGATTATACCAACAGAAACGAATAATTCTTTAGAATTAGTGAATAAGTCAGAATTAGGCAAATATCCTGAAAACACAAGGCTTGCAACTGGTTTGGAAAGAAATAATTCCACAATAAAGCAAGCACCGATTATACTGACTAATACCATCACGAGAGATTCTAAAATTCGGGAAGATCTTAGGCTATTTTCACGATAGATTAGTAAGATTATCATAACGTCACATGCGGTTATCGCAACTCCAAATGGTAAAGGAATGCTGAAAAGAATATTTAGAGCAATAGCGCTGCCTATGACTTCTGCCAAATCAGTTGCAATGATTGCAAGTTCACATAGCATG